TGAATCTTCATCGTGGATCGTTTTTTACTTCAAGGACCTGTGTAATGGTTATTCCAGGCAAGTTTGGGGTGAGTTGCAGTTGCAATTAGTGTGTAACGGGGACAAAATTGAACATTTTCCAATTTTTTTTTGCAAATACTACAAGTTACGAGAAAAATGCGCTCCAGCCCTAATAGACAACCCAATGATAAAACTCAGGGCTGGGTAACTCCAGCTAATGGATATCCATCATGTCCAGCAAAGAAACACAGTGCAACTTTACAATTGCAGACGCGGACATTAGAGAAATATCGTCTTTGCTACTAGTAGTACTACACTGTCGTCCTGTTCATACCATGCCATGATCATCATTGAATATTGCTGAAAAATCGGGGGAAATTATGAATAGTTTTTGTTTTAAACTTACCCAGCACTGACTTCTCTTCGTAATCGGAGTCCAAAAAGTGCGCCTTGCACACAAGACTGCTAGCCGCTGGCCACCACGGTCGTATGGGTTTGAAACTATCCCTTTTGATGGCCCGTCTCCACTGGTTTCGTATTTTTTTGTCCTTGGGAAATGTGTGCCCTCCGCGGTGGCAACATCCGAACACGGCACAGCAAGATCCAGGCATTTGGTGCAAGGTTTCATTGAATGAGGTGCACTGCTTGTGCACGAATCCAGGACAACAAAATACGAACTCTTTACTTCCGGGACCGTTGAAGCACGCCCTCTTGCGATAAATTAGAACTAGTCAAAAGTCTCCCAATAATGTGCCATATTTTGACACATTTAGGGTGCGTTCGAGCGTGCTACTCGTGTTAACACCATAGATATAGAACTTAAAAAACTAGATCGGACGCGCGTATAATACGCGCGTTTTGACAGGATGCTGCCATTGCTCACGTGAATAGGGTCAACAATTTAAACGCGCATTTCTTCGGCGTGACGATCACTTGCACTTCTCCATCGATGCTTGCCGTGGTAGGCTAGGAGGAAAGGACTTGAAAATGGTGGCAAACTGTGCAGCAGCAAAGTGCAACTGGGACGGAGAAAGGGTCCCGGAGGACAGTCTCTCAAGAAGTTAACATCATGTGTGAGTAACTTAATACATAGAATTTATCTCTTGTGACTCTATTTCGAACAAGACAGCTTTTATAAAAATTAACTCATTATAGGCTACGTTACGCAAGGCGAATTGACATAAATCACAAGAGTGGGTGTGGTCCAAAGGATCCTCCGAATTTTGTAATAACTGCGCAGGGCCTACTTGAAATCTTGACAGTACATTGTTTTAAAATTTAAGATGGTACTCCTTGCCTGAACATCGACTAACAATTATTTCTGGCCTAACGTCACCCCTCCCCTCTCGTGATTTTCAATAATAGTTCGCTGGGAACAAGGATTGGGAGTCTTTTTTTGTTGTGGGATGTGGGTGATTGAAGAAAATGCACCATTCTCCCAGTTTGAACACATCAATGACGTTTGCACTGGAAACAATTTCAAGGCGTAGGCCTATGTGATGATCCGTCACTTTTTCTTTTAATTTGTCCATTGTTAAGAAAGACTTGCCACAAATCTGTTCACTAACTACGTGTTCTAAACAACACGAACAAAATATCAAAAAAATCCACAACATTTGCAATTTCGGGTAGACTTCAGGAGTGTTGATTTACGGTAAAGATGTGATGCTGTTTGATCTGTAGTGTATAGTGTATCAAGGCAACTCCCATCTCCTTTTCATTTTTTTTTTTTGAAGAACACGGATTGTATATCTTGAAGGATAAAGTCCTACAAAAATGTTTGCATTTTGCTAAAACTACAAAAAAAATTCAATCGAGGCTTATTAATTTTACTTCCCAGGTTCCCCCATGGCAATCGAAAGAGATTAAAAGTTAGGCTTCAGCGGATTAGGAGAAATATTCCAAATGGCAGCAAATGGAATCCAACAAAGCACGATCGTCTTTGCAGCGACCATTTCCCTGCAGAGTGCTTCAAGGTGGAATGGGGGAAAACCCGTCTGCGTGACGATGCCGTACCGTCCAACTTTGAAGACTATACCCGACTCATTTGAAGCCTGTAAGTATTACAATGAGACTTGGGGCCAGGATAGGCTATCAATAATTATTGTCATGTATTTAAAGGCCTATCATGTGCTTTATTTGTTTCATTTCGTAGAAAGACTACAGTCTCGTGTATGGACTTCAGCACGAGAGAGAAAAGCTGCCAACGACAAGGAAAGAACCGACCCAAGCCCCCGTCGAAGATATTGCTTCAGTGCATGGCTGTATCGGCAAATCAAACCAGCGATAGAGCATGCATACAGTCTACCACCAGAAATGACAGGAAGGCTATATGTCCAAGCTTGAACAGGAAAATAGACAGCTCCGGCAGGAAAATCGACGATCATGTCGAAAAAGATCTTATCCGTCAGAGAGGTGGTAAAAGGCCTGAAAGAGGAGCAACTTGTTACTCCAGAGACGGCCGACCAGATGGAAACACAGTTTCCTATTCTGCAATTGGAAGTCACTTTGCTGGAGCTGGGAAAACTGCGCCTTGCTCAACGAATCACAATCATAGTGAACAGATGAAGAAGTTTGCACTACTCGACAAAAGCGTACGTTTTCGTCAGAAAGAAGATTGCACTGCCGACTGTGCGTACAGTGAGGATATAGCTGGCCACGCATAACTGCCTCATGCGTGGACCATAGCTAAAATTTAACAAGTTTCGCTCAGTATTTCGTTATCATCTTATTGTTGCTCCTCAGAAATTGAAAGATTGAATAGCCGTCTGTTTGCGTTCATGCATATGAGGAAGATATATTGAAATTACTTATTCTGGTTCATAAATAATGGGAAGCAATACTCAACTGCTGGTAGTTGCATAGGCTAAACCTTCACATAATTATGCGGATGGTGACAACCAAATGTATTTTTTTCATGAGCAATGATATTCTTGACACCTTGATTAATGGCTATGGATATGGAACTGCCATTTCATCAGTGTATTTATTAGCTAGCGAGTGAGTTTTCATTGTATATAAATTGTTTATTATCTAAAAGTTATTCAAGTATCAGTGTGTTCAGTAGCCTTGTTCAATGCGGTCTCTCGGCTTTTTGTCGAAGGGAGATAATCGGGCCCTAGCACCCACAATCAACGCGGTTACGTGCGTGTACCACCGACCCTTGTCCGTGCGTGTACCACCGACCCTTGTCCGTACGAACGGTTCGGTACTAACACAACCAGCAAGCACACACACGTGAGTACGGACTGTACGCATGGTGTAATAAGGCAGTAAACGTAGGCCTACTATGTTCTGCGTGTGGGTGTACGTACGTACGTGTGGGGGATATACGCGCCGCGTGGCCTGTCGTTGGGTTACGCGGACTAGCTCATGCATGTACATGTACTGTGTGTGCATGGCTGTTGTACGAGTATGTGTGTGATGTACGTGCGTACGTACATGTACATGTACATGTACATGTACAAGCATAGCCTTGCTGTATGGTACAAGTTACTTTCTCACTAGCAGCGTACGGGCATCGATATGTGCACGCATTTATGCCTTGCCAAGTTGATTAGGGATTTGCTTATCGGCGATTTTTTTTTTATCGGCGAATCGATAAGCCCAACGCCTTGGTCAAGGCTATGTGTTCAGTGAACACAACAGATGACCAGAGATTGTTTTTGTAGTCATCCATTCATTTCAAATTTAATGTTCCTATAGACCGCTTGCAGATGCGTTCGATAATCGACGCGCGAAGGCGCGCGACGCCATGTTGTGGGACAAGCGTATATCTATCTATGCACATTTTGTCTCATAACATGGCGTCGCGCACCTTCGCGCGTCAATTATCGATCGCGTCTGCAAGCGGTCTATTGAGGCTAGCAGTATTAAAGCAACGTATTATTTCAAGTGCGTGTTTTTGTTGTTGCTCATTTACAAAATGATTTTCTGTTATTTCATTTTGATGTTGGTAAAATTAAAAGTTTTTGTTTTGTCTGATGGGCAAGTAACGGTTGATATTTATTGCACATTTTGAAAAAGGAGGGGGAAATCTCATTAAACAGGTTGACATTTTAACTACGCTTTTGACATTTGCCTTTGTAAAGATATAAGAACACAATGTGGTTACTTCTCGGTACAAAGTAGTATTCTTGGCTGAAAATCAATTACCTTCAACACAGTCGCCAATTTGGCCCCAAATACGACACAGATGCCAACCCATGTGTAACTTTTCGAAGGAATGTGAAATGTCAAAAATCGTAGTTAAAAATGTCAACCTGTTGTTAAGAACTTCAACGCATAGCTGAATTCAGGTGGGGGTGTTGGCAATATTTTTCCGTCCAGCATTCACCAGCTGCCCTTTGCGCGTGGCCCTATTCACGTGACTTTGCAGCGCGTCCATGAAGAACCCAAAAGTTTTGTGCACAGTGAATGGCGCGTTCGAACGCGCGTCCGATCTAGTTATTTAAGTTCTATATCTATGGTTAACACGAGTATACTCCTGAGCGCCCGAACGGCAGGAGTACGACCCGCGAGTTAGCAAGAGTATGCTCCCCATCATACTCTTGCACCGAGAGTGGTGCGCACGCAACATTTTCCTGCACTCGGGAGTAGCAAGAGTAACACGCTCGAACGCACCCTTAACATGCTTAAAGCCCGAGTCCATCATTTTGCAGCTATCCAAAAAGTAACTGGCGTAATTATTGTTGAAAAACATACTTGGTTGAAAGATAGTAAGGGGACTAAACTCCCTGTGAAATTATTCTTTCTAGCAAGCTGTCTTTTTGAAGAAATCAACGAAAGAAGGCCTTTCCAACGGGTGCGTCTTAAATTATTATATGTCTATGATCGGAACCAGTGATTGGAACCGGAAATAACGCAACTTGAGTGTTTATCCAATGGGCGCTAGTACAGTAATCAGTGGTGCGCGCGCGTGTATGATGTATTTACTAACGAACCGGATTGTAGTCACTAGAATGACGACCTTTTAATATACTTAACAAACTTCAGAGTGACACGGTTTCTTTTATCAATTTAATAAATTAAATGTCGAAATTGAACGAAAGCATTCAGGGACAGGTTTTCAAATCTTAAAGGCACAGAATATCGAAGAAAATCCTACAACTATTGAATCACATGATGCATGCAATACACACACATACTAGAGAAAGTATAATTATTTCCGGAATTAACAAAGTAACTATCTATCATAATCACGTTTACAAGCTCACCAAGATACTCTGATCAGTTGGTGTTGGGTGTATATCGAGGACACAAAAGGTAATGTGTTCTTGATTAGCAAGTTACCCTTAGATATTTATCAAACAAAATCATTTGCAGAAACTTGAACGTACTAACAAAAAGTACAAGTAATTACCAGTGACAATGAAAAGTCTTCAACGTACACCAAACCTGTAGGGGGGGGGGATGCGAGTATGGGATTGGAGTAGCGGTCTGTAACTGACTGGTGGATTTCGTGTAATTAAAAAAGTGTAGAAATGGTTCACCGTACTGTTGATTGAGAATATGATGGGCTTATAAACCTCTATCCAGAAATTTAAAATGCATGGTTAAAAAGTATACCGTGTCAATGACCATCAGCAAAACACAATTTTTTTACAATGGTGCACACATACTGAAGTCTACAGACTTTGATTTTGACTGCAATAATTTATTTCTAAATCAAGTCAAATACTAATAAGCGGGTGCATATCTATGTTCCCCAATACCTATGTTCCCCAATACCGATGTTCCCCGAAATCATTACCCTAACCCTAGCCCGGGGGATATCGGTATTGGGGAACATACGTATTGGGGAACATCGGGTAGACCCCCTAAAAAGCAAATAATTCCTTCATTGATATGAACAATTGAATTACTACTTAAAATATGTAATGAGGGACATACAGAGTGTTTCATGACCCCACTCATTGTATTGGGAAAAATTATCGCCTTTGCTTATTGAGAACCATGTCAAAAAAATCTGTCCTGCATGATTGTGTTCAATTAACAAGGTCAACTTGAATACTAAAAGGACTCACTGAAAGCAAACTTGTGCATGATTATATTTTGAGGTCCATTTCAAATTTGACATTTTCTCTTTTATATGTAACAAATGATTTGTTCTTTTTCCAGAATGCAAAATTCAATGTCGCTCTGAGCCACGATTGCCTTGACGAAAGGCTAGGTAAAACAGGGCAATAGCACAGCTGGTACATCTTTACTGAAAATGCTGACGATCTATGGTAAAACACAGAAGATAACATGTAAAACCTTTTTATTTTTAATAATAAAGCATTAAGATATGTACATGTATTTACAAATGTTTGGCTATCACAAAAACACTGGATTATGGGTGCAATATTTTATCAAACTGATGGTTCATAACTCTCAGGTTAGATGCAGCTTATGCGTGCATGGACTGAATCAATAGAAATTGCTGAAGATAAGTAGCGTATTTGTTGATTGGAACCCGAAGAAAGCATTCAGAATGTTCCGAAATGACAGGCTTGAAGTTGTAGAAAATTTTTATCTAATTGCAAGTTTATGATTTTCGAGAGCATAGATTGGTCCAAAGCACCAAACATGGCAGATAGATTCTCATAGCCCAGAGAAGATATTTAGAAGGGGCGACACTTAAAATTCTTTTGGGAAGGGTGCCTCCTAATTTGCATAAATTGTAACTACCTGCCGTGTAATATTTTTGTCCCCTATAATGTGGGTATTATTTTTTGAAAAGTATATTTTGGGGACCCTTCTGAAATATCTTTACTTGAATAACATTTTCTAAAGCATATAAGTGACTGGATAATGAGAGGACAATAGTAAAGATCCAAAATGGCTATTATTACACCCTACAGTTGCACGCATTTACCTTTTCTCCAGATATCAAGTAGTCTTGCCAAACCTCGGTATTTTTTCTCATTTTTGGGGAGGGGGCTCAATATCAAGACGTTATCAGTTTTCACATGAATTTCTCATTTATATTTGTTAGGTGCCAGTAAGTTAGTTTGTGAATTTGAAGCTCCTCAACTGGTTTGGCAAGACTAGCAGTTGATATCTGAGGAAAAGGTAAATACGCGCAACTTTAGGGTATAGTAGTAGCCCTTTTGAATCATAATGTCCTTATAATCATCGAGTCTCTGATGTGCTTTAGAAAATGTTATTTAAGTAAGAATATGTAAGTAGAATCCCCAAAATATACTTTTCAAAATATAAAAAATAATAAAATATACCCCAAAATGGGAATAAATATATTATACAGCAGGTATTTATCGCAAATTAGGCACCCTTCTCAAAAGAATTCGGGTATCACCTCTTCTACTTATCATCTTTAGGGCTATAAGAATCTATCTGCAAAATTTGGTAGTGCTTTGGACCAGTCTTTCACGATTCCTACCATGCGCCACCTGACTACTAATTGGTGTAGCTATGTAAATATGCACAACAACTAATCCGGCCAACAGTAGAAGCCATTTTTGAGGTGGTACCATATTCACGTGAAAGGGTATGTGTTCTTTAAGACAAGGTGTGCACACATTTTGGTAACCCTATTGGTCGAAGGTATCCCAGAGTGTGTGCGTACTACCCGAGCGCAACTCGCATGAGCCTGATGCCACTTAACAAAATGGCTGTCACGAGATTAGTCTATCCACTCCGTGCGCAAGTACCCCCTCCCCAGTAAGAAAGGGACAGTTGGGGGAGATTACTTGGAGTGACATTGGAACGCATCGCCAAAGATGGCTATAATTTGTTGCGCGTACTTCGCGTTATATGCGCAGGAACCTGTATGCACACACGGTGAGTCCCGTCCAAGGGGCTCTCAAAAGTGGTAAAAAAGCACCCTCTCGTATTAGTGCACAGAAAAAACCCAAGACCTAATGACGTCACGCTTTGTTTACATGTGCACTTTCCTATGAGAACCAGGTGGGATGTGTACCACCTGGCTCTCATAGCAAAGCGCATTATGTAAACAAAACGTGACGTCATTAGGTCTCAGGTATATTAACCCATACCAGAATACAGGTACATGCATTTTCATGAGTTCTTACCTGATCACTTTTTTATACTTTGATCAAAAAAGAAGCAATTGAGATCTACAAGCATGGTTTTGGGTGTTTCTCTTTCTTTCTTTTTTTCCCCCAGAAAGTTAAAATTTAGCTGAACTTTTGGTAATTTCAATAGGATTTCACTTCTGTACAAAAGATGGCGTTTTATGGCGAAAAGCACAACCTTGTAATAGGCTTACAGAACATATCCACTGGACTTATACATGTACCAAATGTCAGTGTGGATCGGTATGAAAACTAACAGTTAAATGCATGTATGGAACTTATTCAAGAGGAAGCCATTTTGGTCGTGTTCCCTGAATGTATTTTATAAATTGTGAATGTTGAATGGGATGGCGCCAGACTAAATGCATTGATCCTCACTTTCACTTTCTTTTTAAATGTGGCTAATCACAAATGTGTTAACTCACAAATTTCAAATTATTCATCAGACCAGACTGGTATTAAAATAATTATGTCATTGCTTTCATTTCCCTTCGCGAGTTCCAACAATGAAGATGTCACCTCGCTTTCAATTTGATATGGCCGACTCGTGAATAAAGCCCGTGTACAGAAATACATGTATGTACTAGGTTTCTGGTGATACAGCTTAGTGATAGACGACACAATGTGGCACGAAAGGACATTCTGTATCATCAATGTACATCACTATGGTATGACATGTACAATGAATCAATATGTTATTAAACAAAGTAAAGATAACTGATAACTGTTCATCACCGTGTTGTGTTTCTATGTGGGGAGTGATCCCTGGCCGCAAAGCACAGGTTAAGCAATTGAGCTGAGTAACAGGCTGAAAAATATTCTGACCATTTGCCCTGCACAGATATGTTGGAAAAAAAGGGGAGGAACAGGCACATCAACGCTATACCAAAAAGCACAATGGGTGGGAGTGTATGTTTGTGTTCATGAGTTCATCAAAGCGGAGACTCCCCCCCCCCCCCTCCCATGGGCTACATATGTAAAGGCGCCTTCCCGCATAGTGGTCAACACACCCACGTAGCAGGTAGCAGGCGGGCAAGCTGTCTTCCCCGCAAAGCAGGCGAGGCCAAGCCTCATGTTTAATACTCTTGAGGTCCTAGATTCTAATCATGCTTGTACTTTTTAATTCAAAACCATACTGCAGTAAATCAGATTACATGTTTCACTGTATGATGCAGGAAATGTTGAGTTCCTAATATAACCTGTCCAGGCAATGACACCAATACTAGTAAAGTGTACAATTAAAACTAAAATATGTGACATTATGGTCAGGAAGACTATCTACCAAATTGTTTGGTCCTTTTCTTTTTAGGTGCCTCAGAAGGTGTTATTTGTATTTTGTAAATTAAATTTAGTGGCAAAAAATGCACAAAAGGTTTACTCATGCCTATCCCAGTGACACAAAACCATTGCCCTCTGACTCGGTTTTAACACATACTTCTATGGTCTGGTATCTCTTCATGTTTTTGTTGGTTGTGACTGTTTTCAAGAGAAAAAATTATGATTTATATTAAGAGTGAAAAGATAGAGATTTTACATGCGTTTTATCTTTGACTTGCCCTTACACATAAGAACATAAGAACAATTGATGAGTTTGACTTAAATGGATAAACATGTAACCATAGTGGTTCCCACTCCTTTAAGAGGTTAATAACTTACTTCCGTAGCTTTGGCCAAGTTAACTTTGTTACAGAATTGCTGTATTGTACAGCCCTGTGCTTGATACAGATTGCAACAATAGTTATCGTAAATTTTTACATCTACATGCATTTATGATACCGTAGCATTAAAAAATAATTTATAAATCTGTACTCAAGGTCGACTTTGTAAGGTTTATCAAACATAAAATTACATCTACCGGTACAAGCCTCCCTTCCATAAGGTCAAAGAAGGACACAATTAAATAATTTCATACTTTTTTTTTTACAATATTACACAATTTCCTCAGCTTTTTTTTTGAAGGATATAGTCGCAAAGACAAGTCTACCTGTTTACTTCATAATGAAGACCAGTTAAACAATAGTTCCTGTATTTTTATCTCAGAAACACAATGCTGCCTTTATGTTGTCAGAATACTCATCAGAATGCTTTCTGTTGAGGTGGTGACCACTTGACCAGGTAAGCCAAGTACTTTCCTAGATTTGTGTGGCAGTCTTAGGTATTTGAGTGACAAGTAGGATTCTTTATAATACATCAAATTAAAATCCTTATTCAGCAGCAGCATGCTAACACTGAGCTGCTGATAAAATGGGCACTTTGGGTCTTGGCACCATTCAATACATAAAATATTGCTAAGGGCATTTTAACCAGAATGACCAGGTTCATAGCTCACTTTTTTAGTAAGTGCTGGTTTCAACTCTGCTTAATACCCATGACTGTCAACGTACATGTACAGCCTTGACTGGCTGCAAACTCAGTCACAGTCCCATCCATTGTCCTTGATCATGTGTGCCAATTCGATGATGTACTTGCCCTCCTTGTATTTCTGACTGTTTTCAAAGGCATGCTCCTGCACACACATAAAAGGAAAATAAATTATAAAAGAGGATGCAACAAAGAAAGGACACACTATTGTACAGATTTTATACTTGACTCATATGATTTTTAAAATCCATCAACGGAAGTGCAATTCTGCATGTAAGGGAACAAAAAATAGTTATCGTAGCCCAAAAATCACAGTGTTACATGTCACAGATAAGCACTGAGAATTCACACTACCGGTATTAGTATAGTTTTAGGAATGAATGCTCTTCAAATCAATCTGGATTAATTAATTAATTGGCTGTTTCGGCAACCAGCCGAAACAGCCTTTGTTTTCGTTAAGATTTTTATTTTTTAAATTTTTAAATTTTTTTTCAGCCCAAGCCCGATTGCCTTTATACCTGGCACACACTTAGACCACCACCCATAGATGGTCGCCGAACATTGACGTCATCATGACGTCATCATGAGTCACGTGACGTCACATTATATGCGATTTTTCTGTTGTGACCATTTTCTAACAGAATTCGGCTAGATCTGACAGATTGGGCTATATCTCCAGAACTACAGGTCCGATTGGGTTGAAATTTGGTATGTAACTAGACTGGGATGTCTTACATGTATAGATGAAAATTAACTTGACGTCATGATGACGTCATCATGTGACATATGACGTCATATAAAATAAACATATTTTGAAGGCCTTTATCTCCTGAACTACAGGTCTGGTGGGTTGGAAGTTGGTATGTACCTAGACTGGGATGTGTTATAGATGAAAAATGAAATGAAGTCATGATGACGTCATCATGGGTCAGGTGATGTCATGTTAAAGATTAATAAATTTAATCTTTGAAAATCAATATAAAATCAACCGTGAGAGACATGAACATGACTTTTGCGGGAATTGATAGAATAATCCAGGGCCTTCATTTCTAACATTATGTGCAAAATCACGTGACCCTTCCTTCTGGTTGAAACCGGAAGTGCCTTGTAATTTAAAATTGGTGAAAGATGTGAACTTGCTTTGAACGATGCATGCTCTGGCTAAGTAGTTATTTACAAAAAAAATAGTTGAAATTTGAAAATTGATGAAACGTCATCATGAAGTCATCACGTGACATGTGAGGTCATAATTCAAAGCCCTATGAGAATGTAATCACATATTATATACTATCATTTATTATAAACAGAACTACACATCCTCTGGATGGAACTTATACTTGAAACTTTACATGTCACATGTCAAAAAAAGTTACCGAAACAGCCCTATGTTTGTCCACAAACATAAGTCTAGTTTTTTTTGGCTTTTCCGCAAAGTGCGGAAAAGCCTTTCTTTTTGTTAAGATTTTTCTTTCTTCTTCTTTTTGTCGCCTAAATCTAAATGTCGACTTTGTACATGATTTTTCTGCCCACCACTTTTGGCATAAATCTTTTTCATACATCATTCAAAGTTACCACAGGCATAGTCCCTATCGCAAAGTTGTGTCCCGAAGAGTGATTCATGGTGACGTCATCATGGGTCACGTGACGTCATTTTAAATGTGCATATTGTAAAGTGCTATATCTACAGAACTGTAGTCCGATTGGGTTGAAACTTGGTATGTAGGTAGACCGGGATGTGTTAAAGATGAAAATTGAGGTGACGTCATGATGACATCATCATGGGTCACATGACGTCATCCTAAAAGTGCATATTGTAAAGTCCTATATCTAGAGAACTGTACGAAAGTCTGATTGGGTTGAAACTTGGTATGTACCGGTAGACCGGGATGTGTTTACAGGTAAAAATTGAGGTGACGTCATCATGACCCAAAATTGGGTACGAAGGTAGTCCGACACGTCTGATTTAATATGGATTTATTTCTTTTGGAAGATAATATATCTCACAGACGCTACATGCTAAATTTAAAAACTATTGTACCGTATACTTTGAAATGTTGTACATGCATAGTCTGGGACGTGTTATTGATAAAAGCATAAAGTGGAAAAGCCTTATGTTCTGTTGCAAACAGACATAGATCTCTCGTTGGCTTTTTCGCAAATTTGCGAAAAAGCTTTTGTTTTTGTTCTGATTTTTTTTTCTTCTTCTTTTTGATCTTTTTGGGTCCACCCCAAATCCCATTGACTTTGTACACGTTTTTGGTGTGACACACTTTTGACCTAAAACACATTCCTATTGCAATGAAACTTATCTCAGGTAAAGACCCTATAGTGAAGTTGTGTCTCGAAGAGTGACGTCATGATTACGTCATCATGGGTCACGTGACATCATCACAAATGTGCATATTTTGAAGGCCTATATCTACAGAACTGTAAGTCCGATTGGGTTGAAACTCGGTACGTTTGTAGACCGGGATGTGTTATAGGTAAAAATTGAGGTGACGTCACGTGCGATTTAATATATTTTTTTGAATTTTTTGGAGCTTTAACCCTAAAGGGGCCGGGTTATTTTGACCATCTCTCAGGCGGGGGGGGGGGGGGGGGGGGGGGGGGGGGGGGGGGGGGGATTCTGCCCCCCCCTTAAGATCGCGGCCATCGAGTGACGAAAAATTTTGAAACTCGGCACATGCATAGAGCAACTCTTCATAAACATACCCAAGAAATTTCATGACTATAGGTCAAAGGGTTTTGGAATTATGGCTAATTAATGATTCATATGTACGAATGGCAATTCTGCTCTGTGTACAGGACGTATATACGAAAATTCAGTTTTCACGGCGCATAGCGCCAGAAAATTTTTCGCTACGCGGCAACCCGTGGTCCGATTTTTTTATGTTTTTGGTATCAAAAGATGCGCAAAGCTCGAGGCTAAAAAATCATAACACTGACAGCAGATTGGGTCACAACATGATGTCAGAAAGTGTTGGTGACGTCCACTATGACTTCACAGTCAATGAACCTGTGTATCCCCACCATACACCCCCTCTGTTCACTAAAAAATGGTATATCAATATCTCTGATGAGTTTTACCCCAACCAAATCCAGTAAAAACTCAGTAGCCCTGACAACATTTTGTACTTTAAACAGGTTGCGACACTGCATATGCCTTTGGGTCTGTCAGAAAAAAAAGGAATGGGAAACACATAATGTATTTGAAGAAGTAACAATAGTCTTTCCAAGACTAACTGAGGTACCACAGTTTATCCCAATTCAGAAATTGCTGCAGTTCAGAGGTTAACAATAATTCTACAGACGACAGAACCAGTAACTGGGTTAATATAGATGAGGCAAGAATGCATAGTGTAAGAAAAAAAGGGCTTGCCAACAGTCACTTCCAACTATAAAGGCGGCCTTACTCCAACACATTAGAAGAGCTATCTGAGGTGCATTCTATTATAAATATGAACAGCAGTCAAAATTTTCCACGGTGGACATATTGAGTACCCCCCCCTCCCGCCATTTAAAAAATGCATGCCGCGCCTCTAAAAGGGTAAGTTTGTGATGGCTTCACATTCGAAAAAAAGAAAGATTTTCATGAATATTGTCTGTGTGGAGTTTAATCCGTTTATAGAAGGGAGGCACAACTTTTTTATAGGGGCATCATGACTACCCCCCCCCCATGTTACTATGTCTGCCACGCCCCTAAAAGGGTGTTTGCGATGGCTCCACATCTGATTTTTTTTCTCGTGAATATTAACGTCTGTGGGAATTAGATTTTATCGTTGTGGGCACATTTTTCCCATGGCGGGCATAATGAATAATGAGAACCCCGCCCCTTTTTTCCAATATGGCTGCCACGCCCCTAAAAGGGAGTGTTCGTGATGGCTCCACATCTGGAATTTTTTTATCTCATGAATGTCAATGTCTGTGGAAAGTTCCATTTCTCTATGAATGTGGGAACAATGTTTCCATGGTGGGCATAATGAAAATCCTGCCCCTTTTTTTCTAATATGGTTGCCATGCCCCTTAAAAGGTGTGTTCGAGATGGCTCCACATCTGGATTTTTTTCCCTTTATGAATATAAACGTCTGTGTGACGTTTTATTCGTTCATGAAATATGAGCACAATTTTTCCCAAGGTGGGCATAATAATTAACCCCCCTCTTTTAAATGGCTGCCACGCCCCCAAAAAGGTACTTTTGTGGTGGCTCTGAATCTGGAAAACACTTATAATCTATACAATTATGTCTTTGTGAAGTTTCACGCTTTTATGCAAAAGTGCACAATTTTTTTCACATATCCGCTGGACTATAAGTAGAATCACCAAAATAAACTTCTCAAAAAATAAAAACTAGAAATGTGTTTGTGGACAAACACTGAGCTGTTTTGACCATTTTAGCAACAACTGCCATGAAAGAATTTCATCCAAGTGGAATGTACATGAACATGAGTATTCTATAGATGGTGGACTAAGTGTCGATCCGATGTAGTCCCAATGTGGGGTGTTGAACGAAAATGTGTTATCCTTTGGAAAATGGAGTGCATGTAGTGAAATTAAGTGCAACATACACGTAGCCTGGTTAGGAGAATAGCAGAATCCGGGGAATTTCCTTGGTGAGGAATGGTCACGTGACACGTGATCACGTCATGATGACTTCATGATTCGGGATGAACCTTCAAATAGTGGTCTATTAAAGTGTGTAGTTTGAAGTCGATCGGATCGTGGTTTTTTATATCATTCTTGGTGATTAGAAGAAAATATTAAAATGTTAAAAAATAATAACAAAATGAAATGATGACGTCATGATGAGGTCACTTCAGATTTTAAATGCTTTTTTCAATACCTACATGTACCTACCCACCAAGTTTCGTAATTATATGTGCATCAAAAATCATGTTTTTCATGATGTCATGATGACGTCACACATTTTATCTATTACCTGGTTCTATCTATTACCTAATAAACCTTAAAAAAAAAAACAATTTCGAATTTACCACGTTCCATTGATGAGATATGAGTAAAAGGTCCAAAAATTTAATAATTCATAAAAATCACATGATGACATCAACGAGTTCTTCACTGTAATTTTTGTCTGTAACACATGCTGGAATACCTGCATACCAAGTTTAAAGCTGATCGGACTTCCGG